ATCCTGTTGGCTTTTTGTATTATTTTTATTATATTGGTGTTCCAACGTTCTGTTGGATTAGCAGTTTTATTTAACTTGTATCAAGTTAGCGATAAAACACGTATTCAATCATTAAGCAAACGAAAAGCTAAAGGGCGTTCCAAGAAAATTAGCACAGGTTTAAAATTTTTAGATAGATATAAATAAAACTGTTAAAATATTGTTCATTTGTTTAAATCTCAATGAATATGTTTGTGTTGTACACTATACTTTGTTGAAAAATAAAAATAATGTGTAAGTGAAAAAACCTAACGGCAGAAGAGTGCCAAGGCATCAGGAAAAACGTCTATAGCTCCCGAACCATGGATTTTCAAGATGTCCCTTAAATCCAAGATGGTAGAAGACACTTCGGGCTATATATGTATGAAACAAATCCATAGATTTCTATGACAGTTTTTAGAAAATCGAACTGGTTTTCCCCAGATCTCCTGAAAAACCTATCTTTGAAAATTTTCCAAACTCGTTTTTGCATATGAAAAAATAGCTTCAGATCTTGGCTAGCGAATGATAGAAGCCGCAAGTCTCTATCTTTTATTCCTCTTGAGTTATTCAAAAATTAACCACTGGCCTTGTATTTTAGAGCCGATAGTAGTGCAACAAACATTAAAAAAGAAAGAAAAACGAACAGAATATTCACATAGTAGAGATTACCAGTCCTGCTCTCGAAGACTGTTGACAAAATAGATAAAATCAAACTAATTTTCTTAACCTGAAATATGAAAACCTTTGTTTTACTTAGCTCATCAAATTCGTTTTCGACAAAGTGCTGAGTTTTCAGACGAAAAAACGTTTTTTTTCTCGTCCGACCGGTCAAATTATTTCTCTTTCGGCTGTCCGGCCGACCGACTAGTCAAAAATTTCTGACCGAACAGGGCCGGTTGCCGGTACCGGTTACATCTCCGGTGTAAAAGATACAATGGGCTTGCCTTTTTCTTCTCATCATTGCACTAACTTTTTCTATCTTTAATAAATTTTATACCAATCTTGTTTTACAATTCTTCAGCAAATACATATGTGATCTCGATAGGGGACAAATGAAGATAATTTATCTTTGTTTTCTGAAGGACACAAATTTTTAACAGTGTAGACGTTGAAACTCTGGATTTGTTAATATAAAAAGAATAATTCTTTTAAGCCCGAGTTTTGAGAAAATTGCCTAAGAAAAGTACGATTCTGTTGACCGAGGATGTCTTCTTGATGTTTTATATTTTTCTAAGGAGAAACAACTAACTGTATAAAAACCAACACACCACTACATACACCCAAAAACTCTACATTTCTTACTAACACGAAGAAATTTTTGAACTAAATCTACCTGGAGTTTCATAAGTTTCTGATTATGCAGTTGAGTAGCGTCCTGCAGGTCATGCGTAATCTGTCCTGGTCTGCAGGTCACGACAGATTGAGATTACTATTTCCAAAGTTAAGACAGGTTATCCTCTCCGTAACCTGTTTTCAACCTGCAAAATAAATACGCTGAGCGTCATCTGTAAAGCGAGGAAAAGAAGAGGCTCAAAAGATGATTTTTATTGAAGCAGCATGATTTGATAACTCGAGAAGATGTGCTGCAAGAATTCGCTGGTGAGGGAGAATCAAAATTCTGATGATGACGAGGATGGACAAGAAGACAATCATTGAATCCACATGTTGTTGACGATACATTTGTTGATCAGAAATTTTAGACATAAGTGATCTTTTGTTATTGCTTTTTGATGCACAAATAGAGTAAATGAAAAGATGAAGGAAAAATATTCATACTAGAGTTTTGGAACAATTTTTTTCGTAGGACAAGACAGGTTACAAGTTACGAGGTCGCGGGTGGTTATAGTTTTGAAAGTTTTTACAGGTTACAGATTATGAAAAAGCTATAACCTGCACGGCTTTGCAGTTGAGCAAGTGATGTTTTTGTGGCCTCCAGTACTTTTAATGCTACAAAGAAAATGACGAATGCTTATTTTAAAAAGAATATATCGATAAAATCCACACAAATTCTCTCTTTTAACATCAGAACGAAACTTTCTGATCCCACTTAACTTGAGAAAACAACCTATCAAAAACTGGCACTTTACTCTGCCGCAACCTGTTATTTTCGAATTTTCATTATCATTTGTGCCATTTCTAACTACAATGGTCGAAAACTGATGAGCGAAATTTGTTTATTTGACGTTTTTTGTCATAGACAGAAGATGTCTATAAGTGGTGCTAGAGGTTCTGTTTAACTATCCTAAAACAACATAAAAAGGGCAAAATGGATAAAAACGAAAGTTAAAAACATTTGTAAAAAAAAAGACTTATTTAAAAAATATAAAAAGACGAAAACTTGTAAATAAAAGTTTCAGGAAAGGTAGGTGTAGGCATAGAAAGTTGTTCTACAGATCTGATTCAAAAGGTCTTAAGTTTCTATTCTTTTTGTACTGTTCAATGCTTCAGCTTCCCATTTTTGTGCATCAGCATCCACCGCCAATCGATGAGGATCAGGTTTAGGTTTCTCTGCTCGTGTTTTGAAATAGATCCTCCATAATTGAATAATATGACTTCCCATCAATATACAGAGAAAAAGTACGACACACCATGCCTAAAACAATATGTGTCGGACATTAAAAACATTTTAAAAAGCTAGAACATAATCTATTCCCTACGTTTAGTACAAATTTAGCTAATGATTTTATTTTGAAGTATAAAGAAAATAGATTTTAATCCATATTCATATAAATCTATTCTGATACTTCTTACTTACTCTCCAAGCGTGTTGAATATTCACTGCCAGTTTCGCTAAACCACTAATGACAAACGAGATGATTCCCGCCGTTGTCCACATAATACCAAGCAGTGTACCAATATACTTTGGTGAAAATCTAATAAAAACAAGTATGATTCGAGTGTGATTAACAACGATGCATTTCTACTTACACCCGCGTTATACAAGCTTGACTTCCGCCAACAAGAAATACTCTTGAAAAACAATTTATGACCAAAGCAGCTATTGCCGCTTCGAATATATTAAACATACACACTACACAGAGTAATATATTTAATAACCAACTAATTGTTTGCATTATAGATACATTTAAAATTTTTTGTCTGTGACCTACATAGGACTATAAATAATAATTGACAAATTTTTCAATATTACGTCTCATACCTCTATGGACCTTGTAATCCAATATTAATCCACACAATGGTGAAATAATTAGTGCCGTAAGTGTTGCCATAGCAAAACCAAACGTATATTGCTTAGCTATACAACACATTACAGGTGTCATCAATGATGGTATTATTTATCTACTGTAGACTTACTTAGATTTAAATTTTTGTTGGTTATATAATAAATCCACGGAAACCAAACAACGGGCAAAAATGAGGCAGTGAGTAGTAAAATACCCAAAAACAGTGTCACAAAGATGTATAATGGATTTGTTAATTGATCACGTAAACGCTCTTTTACAGTGTTGGTTACCGTTGGAGCTGAATTTAGAATGAATAATACGATGAGAAATGGAAGTGTTCATTTGCTTTGTTTATTGCAATATAGACTCAGTGGATAATTTATGATGGAGATTATAAATGTGATGTCTATTTCAACTGTTACATACTTTTTGGATTCTGAAAAATGAATATCTTCAGAAATCTCATCACGAATTAGCGAAGTAGCATAAGTTATTAGAACAAGTAAAATTTAAAGCTGTGCTAATTTTATTGGAACGCCCTTTAGCTTTTCGTTTGCTTAATGATTGAATACGTGTTTTATCGCTAACTTGATACAAGTTAAATAAAACTGCTAATCCAACAGAATGTTGGAACACGAATATACTAATACTAGTACAACAAGCCAACAGGATTGTTGCCACACCAGAAAACCGTTGAATATAACCCATCGACGAGAACGATAAATACCTAGCCAATGATACATTCAATAGTTTTCTGGTGTGGCAACAATCCTGTTGGCTTGTTGTATTAGTATTAGTATTAGATTCTGAAAAATGAATGTCTTCAGAAATCTCATCACGAATTATTGAAGTAGCATAAGTTATTAGAACAAGTAAAACTGCTTCGATTTACGACTTCGATAATTCGTGATGAGATTTCTGAAGACTTTCATTTTTCAGAATCCAAAAAGTATGAAAAAGCAGAAATAGAGATCACATTTATAATCTCCATCATAAATTATCCATCGAATCTATATTTCAGTAAACAAAGCAAAAGAAAACGCTTAGAGTCAATTTTCTCATAGGTGATCACTAAATTTGTTTCTATATACCTTTATCAGTGGTTGAAAGTGTAACGACTTCACTCTCTTGTGAAATTTCTCTCGCTTTTTTCGTTGATTCAAGATTCCATACTTTAAATCTCCAATCAAGAAATAACACACCACTGCCTACCATTAGCAAGCCGAATGATGCCCAGATAATGGCTAACGTCGATAAATTAATGATGTTTTTATCAATTAATACCTTGATGACAAAAATAAAGAATTTAGTTTTAACTAGGCTGAAGTAATTTGATAATTCAATATAAGCCATAAAAATAAAAAAATACCTTTACCTGAAATATTGCATACCAAATTGTGCTCGATAACTGCGCACCAGCAATTAATGATCTTAAAACAAATTTTAATTTATTTCTGACATTCTTCAATTAACTTAACCTCTGCTCACGCTGCTAAACCTCTTGTTTTCGTGAAATGAGCCGTAATGGCAAATGACGTTAACAAAATAAGTTCCCCAGATATTGATGTGCAGATGGTGTGAACATATAACAGCCAATCGGATCCTGAAAAGAAATGTGTTTGTGGAAGAGCAGACCAGATATTGTGATGATAACAAATAAAGCAGTACCTGGTTTCAGGAGAGCTAGGGAAATCCATCCAATTAGATGAAAACAACTGCAAAACATACGAAAATAACCTAGTATTTTATGTAAAGCATTCATTTATGCTCATCTTACACAGCAATTATCTTCACAAATCGAGGGCCGAAATAGTCACTCGTGAAGCCCCAAATTACCGCCGGTAAATTGTAAAAATAGATGCCAAGAGAAAAAGCAAACTAAAGGCAAATGCGGTATTGTGCGGTAAAATTTAGTAAGAATGAATTTACCACTTACCATATATTTTCCTATTTGTCCTTGACAATCTTTAGTAATTACATGTGTTTGATTTACACTTTGGTCTAATCGAATATTACTATCCGTTGGCAATGTGCAATAATTTTCAAATATTCCATAGCGTGGTAGAACTCCAAATAACGACGCAAAGCCAAATATGCTAAAATATATGAGGCAATTAATTATACAAGTTGGTTAAAACTGACGTTCTTACTTTCCCGATAATAGATTACATTCGATTAACAACCATATAAGTCCAAAAACTTTTCCTTCCAATATACTTTTGAGAGACATTTGGCTTTTTGGGACTATAACGTCATAAATAAACATATATCTTTGAACTAATACACAGTCTCACATTACCTGTTAACGTAAACTTGAATTAATATATCAGAAAATTTTCGATTTGTGAATAACCCGAGTCAATAGTAATAAGATTCGTTTTTGTCTCGCTGTGCTGGATCAAAAAAACCAACAATAATCTAATATAGGAATTTTAAGAATCCTTATTCAACTAAAAGTTACTTCTGATCTCAGCGTAGCAACGAAAGCAGTAAAAGCGGACTATAGTAGATTTTCCACACAGATATGAAGTTTTCAGCTATTTTTCTAACGGACTTGATCGTAAAAGTTTTAACAGCTAAAACTTCCAAAAATAATTCGACTGACTCTCTCTACACACACACATCAGACAAATTCTGATAATGTCACTATCTTTACACTCATTACACATAACATAAGTTCATTAAGACCCCATCTCGGAAACGACAATTTTTAGAAAAGCACATAGGCTAATATCTCGAAATATTTTCTTTCAAACTTCCATGAAGTTTAAGGCTCCTTTCACTCAGAAATCAATTTTCAGTATGGAACAAATTTTTCAAATTTTTGTTCGATCTGGACAAAATTTTCAGTAAATATTGCTCATATCCAGGTGAGATTACAGCAGGAATTTCCAGTTTGATATCTCGTGTTTTCCCAGAGTTAGTCATAAATAGTAGTTACAAAGTAGGTGTCAGCACTTTCCAATTTTTTTCTGCCATTTCAAGTGCTAGAATTCTTTGGTTGGTTTTAAAATGTAACCAAGAGTAGACATTACATCTTAATAGAGTCGGATTCTTAATTTCCAACTTATTTTCTGAGAAAAAAATAGAGGGTTTCCAAACGACCAGCTATTTTTTCTGAGTATTTATGAAGTTTTCCGAAAGTCTCTATTTTTCTCAGAAAATAAGTCGGAAATCAAGAATCTGGCTGTACTAAGTTGTAGTGCCAACTCTTGGTTACATTTTAACGTCAACCAAAGAGTTTTAGCACTTGAAATGGCAGAAATAGATTGGAAAGTGCACATCCCTACTTTTTAACAAGTGTAGTTCTTAAAGCCTAGCGTTCGTGACGAAAATAACCAATTGACGATAGGTAAAAGTAGTGTACTATAGGTTGTGAAGTACGTTGAATCGAATGAGCAGGTGCAAAGACACGTACGGCATATTCATGCACGGTTTCGATGCTATAAGAAGATTTTCATACAAAAAAATACATTTTTTTTGCTTTTAGAAACCTTATGTGCTTTTAGAAAAACCTCTGGAAACCAAAATCCATCGCTAAGACTAAAAAGTATAATGCATTCGAAAGCTGACACTTTGAGTTATCCAATTATGTATAAATTTCAAAATCGACTTTCTTTGAGTGGGAGAGTCTTAAGTCATGCGTTGTTTTGGTTTTCCAGCGCATTTATTGGCAGCTAGGAGTGGGACAGATCCAGTTCAATTCTTTTGAACGAGAACTGTTTACCAGTTCTTTTCAAAAAATTAAAATTGAAATAAAACCGGTGAACCTACTTACAATGACTTTGTGTAGTGCGCCAGACGTAGATGGTGTGTTTAGTGGACTAAACCAAGCCAATATAACTAATTATATCGATTTTATTTTGAATTCTTGAAAAGAAGTGATAGTAGTTCGCGTTGTTTTGAAAAGAACCAGTTCCCGTTCAACAGGAACTGAACTAGTGACCAGTTCTTAGGAACTATAGGAACTGAAACTGTCCCATCCCTATTGGAAGCTCTATATAAAAAACGATCTTATATGTTTATTTTTGTCTTATGAACTAATTTCTATTGAAAATATGTTTTGCTCCGAACACATCCTGTTTACATGCATAACGCCTAGAGAGCAGCAGAAATGTCAGAATTAAAGTGAAATAAGCATCAGTCACCTTCTGAAAAACATTTCATAAATCCTTTTATCTATCCTGTAAAAATTGATGACCTGTACGAGTGGAAAAGAGTGCTAGAAAACAAAACATTTGCAGTAATACCACACTGATTACAAATAAATATTCTTACTCACGTCTCTGATAACATTAGGACTGAATTTTTCCAGCGTCCATAACCTAGAGATAAAATGGTTTTTAGGTAGAAGAGTAATCATTTTCAGAGATAAAATCTGCATAGATTCACCCATATGACACACACTTAACTACATATACGCAGGTTGTTACAGATTGCGTCATTCACAAGACCGAGGTTCTCTATTTTCCCAATCATACTTGTAACGCACGATTCTACTCATCTAATCCATTCATTTCGTCCAAGAGTCTGTACTTCTCTTTTGCTCTTCTTCTTTCGATATTATATGTATATTGGTATGTGTTGGTATGTAAGGAAAGGAACGAAGCTGATAACGTTATCACTTTATAAAGAGAACGTGATCATGAATAAAGAAGAGCATTCTTTTCCAGTATCATGTTTTCTAGTTTGATTTTTCAATAAACAGAATGATGTAAAGAGTCATGCTCAGTGTTTTCGATAATAGTTTTGGTGGGGGTGGCAAGCATGCTGAGTAACTAAAGTTTTTTATTAAGTAACACATTTTTTCATAATAAAATAATGTTAAAAGTGTAGTTGGAAAATATAGTGCACCTTCTCTTCCTTCTAATGCAATTTATAATTTAAAATCAACTAATTTTTTCGCTCATTCTTCATTGAGATCACTATTTTTCCATTCACTCTTATTTTGCGCTTCCCACCCTGAGATGTTTCTTTGATGTTAATTTTTATGTTACACATTTTATCAAAAAAGTGATCTCAATTAAGAAGACTTGAATGTTTTTTTGTTCACTCATCGTTATTATTTTTCACTAATTAAAAATGATAGATTCGATCACAAAACAAAAATTCACCTATCAGCACGCGCAGTATATCTAATTACCGTAACGTCTTCTGATTTTAACGACAAGAAGGCTATTTATCAATCAAATTTATCATTACATACGAGTGACAACTCAGTTTTATGTTTGACAACAATTGTTATGCGTGTGTGTGTGTGTGTGTATGTAACAGAAATTAGTTATATTAATCGGAGACCACTCCGAAATCAATGCAAATATCTTTTTATTAGAAACTTACTTCTTTACATTTCAGAAAAGAAAAAAAGCTATCTACTTTCTTGTAGTGCCAGAAAAAATCAGTAAAAAGTGTACTAGTGTGATAATATTCTTTTTTTCTTTTTTCTTCCATTTTATCTACCTGTAAATGTAAAAATATCTCGCTGTTGTTTTATTAGAACAAAACAAATTTATCTTCAAACGTAGAAATGCAAAAAAAGAGTTTAACTTAAATGGGGAAAAAAAACTACAAAAATCTTTCGTTAATAAAAAATACTTCCCGATGTTAGCAACCGCCCTCCAGAAGTCATTATTCTCCTTTATACTTCAAATCTTGATAGAAAAAAAAAAAAAATTGAACGATAGTGCAATTATATCTGATTCGAATTTTTAAGCTAAAGATGTGAAACGTATAATTTCAGAAGAAAGAACTTCCGGTAGTGCAATCCAAGAAACTATTTAGTTAATTCTATAAAATACGCTTAAAAATAATGTGTTTTTTAAAAAGCATCTATTAAACATGTCCGATTTGATCTTTTTCTTTTACAAACGTTTTTCTCTATTCATACACCTCTGTTCACAGTGTTTTATCTTTTAATAAGACCTTGACAAAAATATTAGTACTGATTGTATCGTTAGATACTGTTTGTTCCAAACAACTATTACAACTAGATACTATTTTTTCAAATACCTTTCGTAGCGTTCAAAAAATCATAGCAGCCTACTTTTGAAATATCAATTTGATAAAAACTTATCTACAGATAAGATATTTCCTAAAAGAGTTTGAATACATCGAACTTTATAGAATATTGATGAGAAGAGTACATTAATTAACTGAAAGAGGCCTTTCAATAGATGACTGTGAAGTTTTCTACACAGTAAAAGGAGTGATTCTCAGTTAATGTCATATGCCATTTGTGAACTAAAGTATATATTTCGATGTATCAGAAACCAAAACAATGTTTTGAGAAAAACATTGCGCTACACTGGTATATTTATACAACACTACTCTTATTTAAAGAAACTATTTAGTGGTGTTTTTTTTCTATCAAATGTTATTGTTTTATTGATTCTGACCCAGATCGTTGATTCCGCATGTAACATCACATGGTAAATTAAAATGGAGAAAAACAAATATTAATTTTAATATTAAATTTTAAAAACAATTTTAATTTACCATGTGATGTTACAAAGAGTTGAAACATGAAAAATGATTCATCAAACTGCGTTGCAGCATTCTGCAGCTATGTTGCATATAGAGTGGATATTTCGACTCAGTATGGCCGATTACCTTTATCTTGATCCATTTTAGGGTGACCCAAGATCAACTGGGACTCTCGAAAAAATGTTTATAGCTCCTGAACGGAACAGGCTAGCGAACTCGGTCTTGCGTGATTTTGTAGAGAACGGTATGGCGGATCATACCAAGAATCAAAATTCCTTATTCATACGAGGATGGTTTTCTAGAAACCTTCTGGAAATCCATCAAAGATCTTGGCGTGCCCAATGATTATTGCATGCTTGAATGCTACCCAGATGTCTTCGTTTTAACGCCGAAGACCCAAACTCGCTAGCTAGTAACGTTCCTGCACTATTCAACAAGCAACTGAGTCTATTCTATTTTGAAACGGATAGTATTTATAATAACTAAAATATTCATTGAAAAAATGTTATTATAAATATGCTCATTAGACACATAAATTTCATTTATATGTTTTGTGTACAATTTCGGGAAATAAGAAATGGTCAAATCTTGGAGAATATTTATATAATGAAATTATTCGAATAAAATGTCAAACGACGTATAACAAATCAACAAAAGGACTAAGCTGTGTTGGTGAAAAGAGAAAAAATGTATAGACCTTCATGTCAATAAAGATTCAGATTGAATATCATCGTACAATAATTTACG